AACAATTACGATTCTGGATGGTTGATGAATCGATATCACATGATTCACTTCTCTTATGCCTAATTACACAGTTTCAATCCTGAGAAGGTACTTTCAAAATTGGTAGTTTTTCAAAAGAAAAGAAAATAAAAACTGTACAAATGCATGTAAATCACTGTGGCCAGTACTGGCCTTTTAATTGATGCAGACAATACCGCCAAAAAGTATTGGAATTTAGGGGGAATCTGGTCACTTATAGTCTGATGAAATATTCGATATGCTTTTGAATGTTTGATGAATTACATACTAAAAACAACTATATCCCTGAAAAGGCCTTGTGATGACTTCACGGAAGAAGGGATTTGTTAGGTGGATTCTTCTGCTCTACCACATCCTCTCGAGAATTTTATAAAACTTGTAAAATTTTTTTAAGGAGACGGCGAAGTGATAAATGACATTTTCGATTTATGACATAGCTTTTAGACTACAATCTATACTATTTATGATGCCGTAAAGTATAATTTCATCTCGTAGCTTGCATTACATTGTTAAGCAAAAACTCATTTTCATTTAAATTCCATTAACTCATACAAACTAGTTTTATTCATTGAAAAATGAAAAACAATAATTGCTATGAAGGTAATTATTCAACCAGCAGCTCTGCAAATTTATAACTAAAAGTTGAAAGTTTCACCGTTTCTGGAAATGCTTATCTTCAGAACTTATAAAAGTATTAAAGATTAACAATGCTCGAATTATATGAACTGTTCCAAAACATATTTACTCAAGTTTGTTAACAAATCCATTGAAATGAGATTGGAATCTTCATCGATTTTTAATGCAAATAAAATATTTTGTTGAAAATTCGAAACCTAATTGGTTTTACGGCTTCTAAATAAATCTAAAACGGCCCATGAAATTTGTTGGAATTTATTTGGTGGAATTTGCTATTTGCTGCTAGAAAATGTTATAGACTTATCTATGTCTATGATGTTTCTAATCAAAAAAAAAAAATCGTCAGAGTAGTAGGTGTTAATATTGCAATACTTGAAATCCATGCAGCAATAATTTTTTGTGATTAATATAAATCAAAAATTTCTAAAAAAAAACATTTCGTCCAGTTGGAAAATTTCTTGCTAAACAATGTAAATTCATTTTGAACAGCAAATCTCGGAAGACTGTCATAGCGGAGTAGTTGAAAATTTTCTTTTCGTAGAAAAGACAAAGTACGATGTTTCTTTCATTGTGTGTTAACATTCAGGTGGTAATTCATAATTAATAACACTTTGATTGATGTGTTAATTTGAACTTACTTGTCACAAAATCTTTCTGAGAATTTAAGAAAATCCTTAATAAAAACAACCTAAATTTGGAAACTATGCAATTCTGAAAGCATATCATAAAATCACCTCAATTTCCATGCATCAAGCAATTTACAATGCATGCAAGATGCCCGAAAAATCCAATGCTACATTTTGGTCTCTTGCACTATTTCAATTCATCTGTGTGTTTAAAAAGATATGTCGCCATTCGATAATACTTAATAATGTTATATATATTCTTGATAATGTAAAAATATCGCAGTAATGTAAAAGTCATTCATTTTTTGAAATTTGTAACTTGAGGAATTTAAAAGAGTTTCACAATTGTCAACGACTTTTTCGTCTGTCGTTTCTCTTTTTCCTACATTCTTTGGAAAGATTTTTTTAGTTTGCACTGAGATTTTTTGAAACTGTTTTTAATTTTATTAATGAATCAAAGGATGTAATTTTTCAGAAGACAGCTTATCTATACATCTCACTAATGAAACTACGCCTAAGTTAAACCTTCTTGACATAAAGCTTACTCGTTTTTCTTCAAAACGGAGTTTCGAAAGCTTTCTTGTTTGATTTCATTAAGTAATTCTACATAAAATTAATCAATATCAGTATGAACGAATAAACAGTATCATAGATTCAAGGATTATTTTCAAAAGGAAAAAATTTTATGTATAAATTTTATCGACGACTTTCTTGTCGTTCAGTGTGATTAGATTTACTGTGTCGAGCAGTGACATTTGTAGATGGTTATTGAAATCAGGTGAAGAAAGCCTATTTCTCTGTACCTTATAACCGAAGGCCACAAGGAGTTCAGTCGTTTTGCGAGCAACGATTCCATTTACCGTTATTTCAACAAGTTTCTAATCCTCAGTTGTAAACTTTCTGTTGAAGTTAGAAATGATTATGTAAGGGTTTATGACGACATACAAACACATAAAAGCATACGTTCATAAAATATATTATTTTGGATGAATCAAACAGCAGATATCCATTATTTGTTCTATAAATGCCGGGCAAATAACAAACATTTTCATTTATTACCAGCATGAATCATTTTTATATTTATGGGACAAACACTCTTCGTTGGTTTGTGAATAATTTATTGCATTTGAAATTTTATTGAAGTGGGAACGAAGCTGGTGGTGTTATCCATAAGAATAGGATAGTTACTTTTCTATTCTTACTCATAAATGAAATGATCTGTAATTAGCCACTTATGGAAAAGTTAATAATGCAACAAGAGCATTTATTGATTGATTTTTATATTTATTCTATAACCATTTCGTTACAGGAAGTTCTCGTTTCATTTGAACTATCATAAAACTAAAGCGCGATGAGGTACATTGGTCAGTCTTTGCCTAGTTATCGTTTTCTTACTTTTTTATGATGAACACATATCCTTTTGGTAAACAAAATATCAACGTCACAGTGTCGCTGCTTTGTGTGTTCAATGTACTTAGTAAGATTATTCGAGGGAAGGAGTCAAAGTCGTAATGCTATTGGACTCAAAATGCGTATTTCGCTTAGATAGCATCACTCAATCCCTCACCTCCCTATCATTATTCCATTCCTGTTGTAACCATTGTTACCGTTCTACGATTCACTGTCCACTTCTAGAGATCGGTGAGTACTCAGGTGTAATGGGGTACCTATCGTGACATTTGTTATCTCCACACACTGAGTAGTACACACATACACTGTCTAGTTGCCTCTACCCAGTTCAGTAATATTCTTATTCTTCCCGTAACAAAGCAACCGTTTGGGTTCATCCTTATGTCACACTGTCAACTTGCTACTTTCATTATCATTTATCAACTAATATTGCTACTATTATTATTTATTATTATTATTATTATTATTATTATTATTATTATTATTATTATTATTATTATTATTATTATTATTATTATTATTATTATTATTATTATTATTATTATTATTATTATTATTATTATTATTATTATTA